AATCCTTCAACGGCTTTAGGATCAAGCGGAAGCAATTCCGAGCAAATATATCATGCTATAATATATCTGACGAAATTGTTTTAATAATCCAAAATATTTTAAAATAAAGCATTTTAAATGGCACAATAATCACATTTAATTAATATTTATGCCAATTAAGGCCTTAATTTAAAAAATAATAATTTAATGACTTTTAATGACCCAATGGAAACTCTGTATAATATTCTCACCTCAAATGATCTGAAAACGTACTTTTATAGAAAAACGGCAACAGAAAACAGAATTTTTAACTTAATACTCTGAGCTCTGTGAGAGCTCAATTGAAAGCTGCTGCTGCCGCAGTGCATGCTGGGACAGCTGTCAATCTCAAAAAACTGACAAGTCTGCTCTGATGCATGCTGGGTAAAGAGGGAGGGGCGAGAACAACATCCGTGGACTTTGTGTGTTCTCGGTCTGCTGTTCTTGTGAATTGGAACAGTACTAGGGCTGAGGCTGATGATGTTTCATGCCAATGTGTATGGACAAGACGCATGGGAAAATCTGAAGGATAGAGCGAATAGGTAAACACAGACGTCCATCACCGTGAACACAGGGACGGAACTCAATGGTAAAGTAAATTATTCTTATTTCTTATTTCAACCGTTGCGTGTATTAGCTGCAACATATGAATCAAATAGCTCTGACCTAAAAAATTTGATTGACAGATGTCCGCTGATATATGATTGGCCGAATTTAGGTGTTCAGGCTGACGTATAACTAACTGGCCTGCAGAAGATAATAAAAAAACAGATTTTAAGACAGGGTTTTTTGTTTTTTTCAAAAATAGTAATTTTCAAAAGTTTGGGAAAATATCGTCTGATAAAGAGTATATAATTGTTTAAGCCAGAATGATTTGACATTTAAATATGATTTCCGTACAACCTTAAGTTTCCAGCATGTTACCACTTTTGCTGCTTTCTATTGTATGTGATTGGAGATTTTCCCTTGTGCAGCATTATTTTTGAATGTGATCTTGTGTTTTTTTTTTCTTGTTTTGTTTGCTAGTCTCATTTGTGAGTTTATAGGATCTTTTCAATTTGTTGTGAAATTACGAATTTACGCAGCGTTTTCAAACCTCATCGGCCGTAGAATATAGAAACAGTGACAGAATAATCTTTTAGCTTGCTAACTCAGTCATATTCGTTTCCAGATCCAATAACCCACCACACACAGACACTGCGCATTGGGAGGATAGAAAAAGCGCTACTGGAGGTTTAAATTAAATTATTTTGAGATTCAGTTAGGAGTTCAAAAAGCTATTTTTAAGGAAACTGTACCCTCTATGAAGGCAGAAAGAAGAAGGAAAAAGAAGGAGCCGCCTGCTACAGAACGTCTTCCTTTAGGGATGTGCCATGGTAGTGTGAAGCAGACTTACCTCCATTTTTTTTGCAGCGATATCCTGATCGTAGTGATCCATCATGTTAGGAAAGAAAGTCATGTTGTATTTCAACCCAAGGCACCTTGGCACTTTGATGGGCTCACAGGTGAACAGGCTGTGAGAAGCGCAGCTTCCAACCCACACCAGAGAAATCCACAGCCACAGCATTGCAGACCGGTGGGAAAAGTCTGGTTTCTACATGAACAAGATGTTTCTCTGGCTTTGAAATGGGAGAGCTTCTCCTGAAGAGAGTGTTCTTCTGGCTCACATCATCATCTGCAAATCACTCTGCGTGAAGTCATTTCAGAGGCCTGAAGAGCAGGGACCTGTGAATAAATACCATTCAAAGGGTTAATGTGAATCAATCAAACCAAAATATTCAGCTTTATTCTTACAGTTATGCAAGTCTGCCTTGACTGACTACCTGTACAGGAAAGAGTTTTCTCCTTAAAGTTTTTTAAAGTCATAGGGAAGCGGCTGTTCCAACCGTTGCATTTCCGAATTCTCCAGAGTGGTGCACGACTTTACACAAGTGAATAAAGTGAATGTCATTAGTTGTTTATCAAGAGGGCAGGATTGTTGTGGCGGAAGGTTCACAAGCACGTTTGGTTGTGGCCAGTTTGTCGGAAACATCTTGCTAACCAGTTAGCAACTTAGTGCTAGTAGGTTCCCAATGGGAAATTCCATTGGGACCAAGTAGCACTAAATTGGTGACTTAGAAACGACACTGTCAAGGAACGCTATGGACAGAGGAAACTTGGAAGAGGAGGAAAGTTTAGTGTCGGAGGTCGTGGATGAGTCTCCTCCGTCATCCATTTTTTATTTAGAGGAGGAAAGCGGGGACGAAGATGTTTGAGCCCTTGCCTCGCAACGCTGCCAGTTCTGTTAGCTCTACGCCTGCTGAAGACACAGACGTCCATCCCTGTGAACACTGGGACGGAACTCAATGGGAAGTAAATGATTCTTATTTCTTATTTCAACCGTTGCGTATATTAGCTGCAACTAGGGCTGCCAACTCCCTGAAAAAAAAAAGGGACACCTCATGTGCCTGCCAGCTGACACAATTTCCTTCACCCCTCCTGGCGTTGAGATTTTTTTAGCCCCCCTTTATGTGTGAAATGATTTTTGTAACTATTTGAATCAAATCTGCATTGAATTAGATTCATATTTGCAGTGTGCTTTACATTCATTATTGCAGAAGTTTTTCTCTGTGAGCAGCACTTGGCACGACCAATGAGATCAGGGTATTCTGGATTGTTACATATATGTTGTCAGCTCATTGGTCACAACGCAGTACAAAACTCAGGAACAAGTTTGCCGTTAGTTTTGTATATAACGTGCCCTTGTTCTTTATTTTCCATTAGCTTTTTAGTATTTTTTTACTCTCACAGTAATACGGGACAAAGTGTGTTCCCTTTCCACTAAATATGGGACAGGTACTTTTGTTTCTAAACACGGAACGATTCCGTTTTTCAAGAGAAGGCTGGCAACCCTTGCTGCGACATATGAATCAAGATGCTATGACCAAAAAAAATTGATTGACAGATGACCGTTGATAAATGATTGGACGAATTTAGGTGTTCAGGCTGACGTATAACTAACTGGCCTGCATAAGATAAAGAGAAACCCCCCCCACAGATTTCAAGACAGGATTTTCTTTTTTCTTTTAAAAAGAAATTTTCTAACTTTTGGGACAATACTGCTGATAAAGAGTACATTTATATACATGTTTAAGCCAGAAGGATTTGGCATTGAAATATGACTTTAAAAGCACACCTATGAGTCATCACTAAGATGAATATTAGGGGTCATAAAACAGGGAGTCTCTGCAGACTGTGAGTGCATGCATCCACAGATCGCAGGTGATTTACAAGAATGAGTCCCAGCTTGTTGGAGCACATTAAAACTTCACATTAAAATGTCAAAAACCCAAATTCACAACTGCATATATGAGGAGCCTTTTCAGCCATGAATGCTTAGCAGGAGAAAATAGTTTCCCAATGATATCATGTTTCTCTCAAAGCAAAGGCTCAGCTTTAAACATAAAGCTCTATAGAAAACATTTGGGCGCTTTATTTAAGGAATAGTTTGATTTATTTTTTTATAAGCTTTCATATAGACGCACTAATTGGATTAAATATTTCACTAAAGCTAGAAGAAAACCACTACTATAGTATAAACAGCCGCTACTGTATAGAACTAGTATGTATAGATTGGTAACTTTTCAACAGTTAAACGAAACATTAGCAAAGTAATGTCGACACGTATTCACCTACAGGTGGGTTAAAATAAAAACAGCGCTACGGTGTTGTAGCCGTTTTATAAGCGTTTACTTTTGCTATATTAGTGTTTCTGTTCGTTTATTAAACATAAAAAGTCAGCGAATGTTGGGGAAACAGTTCAGCCCTGCCACGGTTGCTACCATTAGGGGACAGGAGTGTCCGTGGAAAAGGAGTAAACAAGTTTGAGACCGAAAGACAACGATTAAAAGTGCTTACCTCCAACTGCCAACGTCTTTTTATAGCGAACTGTTTTCATGGAAGCAGTAAAGAGACCTTTTTTTTTCCTGGAATGTGGAAGTCAGTTTCCTGCGTTAAACTCCAGCTCAGTCCCTTCTTCTTCTTCTGTTTTTTTTTTTTTTTTTCTTTTGCAGCGAAATCTCTTCCTGTCGAACCTCTTCCTGCCTCCAGGGGGCGCAGTAGCCTCCAAAATGCTCTTCAGTCGTATTGAGGAGAGAAACAGCTGGATGTGCTCACTGTTACTGCACCGCTGAGTAGTTTTATGTTTCATTGCAAACAAAGAACATAAAAGAACAACATGGAACAGTAATAATTACACTTAGATGCATCATCAAAGGACTTTACAAGATATAGAGCAGTTATTTTATGTCAAATGACAAAATCTAATCTAAGGGTTGCAATTCTTTAAGGGCAGTTATCATTTGAATGGTAAGTAAGAGGATTAGGGCCTCTGAGACAAAAAAAGTTAACTGATTTTGAAATTTTATTTTAGTATAATATGATGGAAAAGTTATATTTTCTCTCAATTCTGACTTTAATCTCAGAATTCTGACTTTTTTCTCAGCATTCTCACTTTTTTCACTCAATTCTGACTTCAATCCCAGAATTCTGACTTTTTTTTCCCCAATTCTGACTTTAATCTCAGAATTCTGATATGTTTCTCCCAATTCTGACTTTAATCTCAGAATTCTGACAGTTTTAGAATTCTAGCTTTTTTCACCCAATTCTGACTTTAATCCAAGAATTTTGACTGTTTTCTCTGAATTCTGAGAGTTCTCTCTCTCTCTCTCTCTCTCTCTCTCTCTCTCTCTCTCTCTCTCTCTCTCTCTCTCTATATATATATATATATATATATAGGGGAAAAATGTGTGAGCTGCTTTTTTTTCCATCTAAATAAAATGCAATATCTTTCAGCACATTACATTTTTAAATGAGAAATACAACAAACACTACAAAAACGACAGTGTCATCCACTTAATTATGAATTATTACATTGACATTTCACAGTGAATTACTTTCTATTTACTCTGCTTTCTATTTTTTTTCGTTACACACAATGTCAATGGCTAATTTAGTCAATATCTTCGAGTCAGTGCAAGATAGCCAGACTAATGTTACGCTACATACCATACTATAGGATACATCGGCGTATATATTGACTTTCAAATGCTACACATGTAGGCATTTTTACTGCTGTAGGAGTTGGGAGTACCAGCATGGCGGACGGAGGCTTCACTTTTTTCAGGCAAACAGCAATCCACTGAATAAATAGATCAGTGGAGGTGCCACAACCACTCACTGAAAACATTTTGATTGTTATGTTTGTTTGTTTTTTATTCTTGCATTTTCATCATTTTCAGTCTCTATTTTAACTGATCTGATATGCATCTTTGTCTAAGAAAAACAGAAAAAAAAGAGAGAAAAAAAATAGAGGGTCAGAGATTTGCACCTTTTTTAATCTTTTTGAGCACTAATTCATGAAATCCGATTGTTGTCACTTTTTCTGAAATGAAACCCAGCAGCTCAGAAAGCCATCTTGGATTTAAGTAATAGTGGATGTTAGTGTTGATGAGATCCCTTCAACTCATTCACACAGGATCTAAGCTCTGTTCAACATGACAGAGATTGAGTCAGAAGAGGATTACTGTAGGTCATGTCAGATGTGAATATTTTTTCTTCATAAACTAGGCCTGAAAAGGGATTCTGCAACCATCCCGGTCTTTTCTCCTTGTATATTAAAAAATGAGCTCTGGGATTCACTAATGACAAATTAATCATTAGTGAATTAGAGGGGGAGTGGCAGCCTATGGTTTGGGCATAGAGCTTGGAATCCTGAGATTGTGACACTGCTCTCTGGGCGCCCCACAATGGCAGCCCACTGCTTCCCAAGGAGATGGGTTAAATGCAGAGGTAAAATTTGGTTCTTCACAACCGCTACTGAGCATTTTTCCTTTGGATAAACTTTACATGCACAAGTGCACTTTCACAAACAACTGCAGGTGCTTGGTTCAAGGTTCTTAGAGATTCACTTCCATACAGAAAACCCATATTCTTATTTTAAGCTAAATAAATAATACTACTTAAATAATACTATGTATACTTAAGCGATAGTATCAAGGTGCTACTTTATTGTATGTCTTATACTATATCCGTTGGTTGTGTTTTTCTTTTTACCTCTCTTTGCAGGTGATGAAGCAGACAGAAGATGTTTCATCATTGTCTCCCTTTTATCTCCTCTTTCTTTCATCTTTTTTCCTTTTCTTGTTTTTCCTTTCCTGTCCTACTTACATTGCAGTGTCCATATAATCTGTAAAACTCTGTGCATGAATTTTAATAAAGCAATTTATATGCATAAATCAAGCGGAACACTATGGCGATAGCCGTACTGCTTGTGAAAGTAAAACCTGTTGGGCTCTTTTTAACATCAAGATAGATGAATAAATGAATAAATAAATAAATAAATGAATAAATGCAGAGGTAAATTCCAAAGCGAGATCAATAAAGTTCAATTATTGGTATACCTACCAGGAATTTCTTTAATAAAACTTAAACTACTGAATGGAACTAAAACTTTTATCTATTAGTTATTTTAGCTATAATTTTATTTTTTCACATCTTAACCCTATATGAAGGAGCGAGGGTTTCCACCGTAGCTTTGTTAGTTCTTCTTTGACCCTTTGGCAGAAAGGGTCAAATTAAGATATGTTATTTTCAAACTGTAAAAATAAATGATGTGTAATTTCGTATTAGGCTTGTGGGAAATCTTTTACAATACTTTTTTTATGGCTTTTGCAAAAAAATA